TTCTGAACTAGAGTCCCTGTGCTTGAAATTGGTGCCCTCAGCCTGGCCTGCACCCTCTCACAGTCTGAGAGCCCTCAGGGGATGTCCAACTGATGGCTTCGGCCCCTAGCAGTTGGACATCCTTAGCACTGCCGTGGAGCCGGGAGAGGCTCCCACCACTGCCACTGTGCTCACCAGCCTGAACCCTGCTTCTGGCTGAGCAGTGCTCCCATTGTGGGGGTGACTGACCACCAGGAGGCAGCTCCTTCATTGAGTGTCTGCCCCCTGGTGGTCAGTGTGTGTCATAGCATCCTGCCTTTTGGTCAATTTGCATATTAGCCTTTAATTATATAGGATAAGGGACTCTTGTCCCTTATCTTGTCCCCAGTCAAGTTTGCCTGATATCCATCAACCAGGCCCTGGACACCTGGTCTCAGCCCAACTTTGCCTGTCTTGCTGTGTGGTCTTGGGTAAGTCACAGCTTTTCAGCCAGCTTTTGGTTTTCTGGGATGTTTCATGCAGAGGTTAGTGGTGAGTTTCCTCCTGCAGCTTAGGTCCATCCAGGAGGGCCGAGGTTAGCCTGGATTTGGCCAATGTGGGAGTGGTGATGGGGGGAGGGGAGAGGAGTGGAGGTTGTTTTTAGCCCCACCCTCTAGTGACATCACACAAGACACCTCCAGTCCCTTGAAACCCCGCCCCTAGTGACCCTGACCTGTGGGAAGTGCCACCCAGTGCTTGGCATCTGGTGAATTTGCCTAGTCCCACAGACGTCATCCACCCCAGGCTCTAGAGAAACCCCTAGGTAAGCAGTGACAGGGGGTTTGGACTTGGTGGGTCCTGGCAGCTTGGTGGGCAGGCCTCAGAGATTGCCCAGAGGGTGTACCCACCCTCACCTCCGGCTGAGCTCTGGAGGAGGTAGGGCGGCAGAACCTCTGCCATCTCAGTGTGTGGCCTCTGGGTTCTGTGTGTAGGGCCCACGGTGCCTGGGGGAAGGGGAAAGCTGTGAATGAGGAGGTAGCTAGGAGCCAGGGCTTCCCTGGTGCAGAGCCAGTGGGTAGCTGCTAACAGGGGGAGACAGGTCCCTGGATGTGAGACCGCTGCTAGAAGCCCAAGAGAATAACGTACAGGAAAGGACTTGGTTGCCCTCTGTAGACCAGTGTTTTCCAAAGTGGTTCTGTGGGATGCAGAGAGGGGTGACAGGAGGCGGGGCAGCAGCTGAGTGGCAGTCCTGGCTCCACCTCTCTCTGTGTGTCCCTGTGTAACCTAGGGCAAGAAGCTAACCTCTGAGTTTCACTATCCTGAATAACAAAATGGCATACCACTACTTACCTCACAGACTAGTTATGAGAATTAATTGCAACACTTATGACGTTTCAGCTAGCTTTATAATATAATTAGGATTCGAAATTGCAAAGCGCCACCCACCCTTGAATTGATCTGCCTCCCTCTCTGGCCCTTGAAGCAGCTGCGGCTGCCGCTGATCAGGCCCTCCCTCCCCCAGGCAGGTGCGGAGGCCACAGCCGCCCCCACCCCTGCCGCTGAGCACGTAACCTGTCTGGCTGACCTATTATGGTGACCCAGTTAATTAGCATACGTCTCTATTTTATATATATATATATATATATATATATATATATATATATATATAATGTGTATATATATATATATATATATATATATATATATATATATATAAAATTCCTGAGAAAGGAATTGCCGGCCACATAAGCTTGGCAAATGTGGGTTCAATAGCAGAAGGAAGCAGGCTTCTTTCCTGCAGACTTCTCAGAGCCTTTACTATTCTGCGATGCCTTGGGAAGTTCTACGCGTGGGGTAGGGAGCATTTGACTGACCTAAGGGATCACAGAGACCCAGGAACGAGGCCACCGTAGCATGTCAGCCTGCCCTGGTCTTTGCCCTTGTAGTGGGACGGAACCCTGGCTGGATTGGGCAACTCTGGGAAAGTGCTCTCTGCCTCTGGGCTCTTGTTTCCTCACAAAGGAGCCGCGGGAGATGCTTTCAGAGGCCCTTTTCGCTCCCTGAGGTTCTGTGTTGGGAGGAAAAAGTGGCAGACAAGGATGGAGGCCAGATTGCTGAGGTGGTAGCCCACTCTCTTGAGGAGGAGAAGGTCCAATAAGGGTTCCCCAACCAGCAAGGCAGGACCGGGGTTTTCATGTTGGGGATGGCAGTGGTCCCAGATATTAGTCCATCAGCAAGGTCTGCTTCCTAAACCCGTTCTGTTTGGGGAATAGGAAGTGGGAGAGTCCTGGGCTCCCCTGGACTAGGAAAGGCTCCAGACCAGAGCGGCTCCAGAAGTGTTGTGTGGGAGGAGCTTACAGATGCAAATTAGGCTGGGGAGGGGGGCGAGGAGGCGTGTGGGCCGCCTGGACCATTTGCTGGTGGTAGAGACCATGAATGCCCTTCCTGCCCCGGTCTCGTTGCCTCTTGCAGTGCAAGAGGAGTTGTAATAAAATCTGATGCAAATGTAGTAGTGATAAATCTGATGAATGATGCACAGAAAACCTGGCTGCTGAGTTCAGTAAGCTTGTTGGAGGGAACTTGTTTGATGGAGGGGAGTTGTCTGGCAGGTGCAGGTTTTTTAATAGATGTTGGATTTAATGAATGAGATGCTGAATAATGAATGGTAACCTGACTAAAGGAACTGGTACAGATAAATGCTACTAAAAAAACAATAGCATAGCCCTAACCGGTTTGGATCAGTGGATAGAGCGCTGGCCTGCAGACTGAAGGGTCCCGGGTTCAATTCTGGTCAAGGGCATGTACCTTTTTGCCGGCACATCCCCAGTGGGAAGTGTGCAGGAGGCAGCTAATGGATGTTTCTCTCTCATCGATGTTTCTAACTCTCTATTCCTCTCCCTTCCTCTCTGTACAAAATCAATAAAATATATGTTTTTTTAAAAATTCTCAGAATATCTTAAAAAAATGATAGCATATAATTATGAAATGATTAATAGCACTTGCCATCTTATCTTGCAAAGAGCAGTGTAGTGTAATGGTTAAGATTGGAAATAGGGCCAAAACCGGTTTGGCTCAGTGGATAGAGCGTCAGTCTGCGGACTGAAAAGTTCCAAGTTCGATTCCGGTCAAGGGCATGTACATTGGTTGCAGGCACATCCCCAGTGGGGGGTGTGCTGGAGGCAGCTAGTTGATGTTTCTCTCTTATCGACGTTTCTAACTCTCTATCCCTCTCCCTTTCTCTCTGTGGAAAATTAATAAAATATATTAAAAAAAAAAAAAAAGATTGGCCGGTGTGGCTCAGTGGTTGAGTGTCAACCCATGAACCAGCAGGTCACAGTTCGATTCCTGGTCAGGGCATAAGCCCAGGTTTTGAGCTTGATTCCCCAGTGTGAGGCATGTAGGAGGCAGCCAATCAATGATTCTCTCATGTTTGATGTTTCTTTCTCTCCCTCTCTCTTCTTCTGTGAAATCAATAAAAATCTATTAAAATGAAAGATTGGAAACAGGATTTAGATTGTACTGCTGCTGCTTCCTAGCTAGGTGGATAATATGGTACTTAACTTCTCTGTGCCTCAGTTTCCTTATCTGAAAAGTGGGATAATATCAACCTCACAGGGTATTATGAAGTGTAAATGAGGCCATTAAAATGCTTACAACAGTGTCTGGCACATTGCAAGCACAGTGCAAGCATTTGCTATGATTTGTTTTCCTTTCTATAATCTCTACCATATCATGAATTGCCTGAGGGCAGGACCCAGATCCTTTTCCTCTTTGCCCTCCCCTGGCACGGGACCTGAGGTAGAAGAGCTCAGTATTTGCTGAATGAATGAATGAATGAGTTTTAAATGCTAAATTGTATAACCCATTATAAGTTTTCCACAGGGGAAAGTGGGCAGGGGGCAGTAAGGAGGTCCCCTGGGGGTGGCAGCTTGTGGAGGGAAAGGAAGTTGGTATGACATTTGGGTTAGATGGAAATTGGGGGTGGGAGCAGGTCATAAAGTCTTGAAGGCTAGATTGAGGGATTAGATTATAATTTATTTTTATTTTTATTTTTGGAATTGGCAGCCATGGCTGGGATGGAAGGGCTGCAGGAGGGAACTCTTGAGTGGGGATGTGGCTGAGAGGAAGGGCTGTTTTCTAAGGATAAAGTTCCTGGAACTTTCAGCAAAAAAAGTGGCTTTTTTGTTGGGTCTCAAAGGATATGAGGTGTGTTTTTTTTGTTTTTTTTTTTAACCAGAATGTGGTTAGTTGTTCTTTGACTCAACAAACACTGAGTGTCAGCTACCTGCTATGCACCAGGGGTTCACAAAATAACGAGACAAACTGCCCAGCCTCGATGAGTTCACATTAACAATTTCAGCGTCCATGCGAAGTGTTCTATGGTCAAAGGATATGCATGTGATAGTAGGAACGCAAGTGGAGAGGTCGTCATCTGAGGCTCGGGGGGCCAGGGAAAGTATCACAGGGGAAGTGGGTTCTGAGGGGTGAATATGAGTTTGCCAGATAAGCAAGGTGAGGAAAATATCTCGGGTGGAGGGAACAGCTAATGCAAACATACCTGTGTGAAACAGGCCCAGGAGGTTGTGAGGCTATGGCTGGATTTGAATACATGTGGCTGAGCCATACTAGGCCGGGAATGACAGCGGGGATAGATCCTGGAGGGTCGGCGGGAGACTAAAGGGGCTAAAAATAGAGGCAGCTGGTCTGTTAGCAGAGTCACTGTCACCACCAGGTGTCCACCGACGGCAGCATAAACACAGGAGGACACATGGGGCAATTGTGTGGAGCTTGAACTGGAACGGAAGTGGCTGAGGTAGTGAGCCAGGCACTGTTCTAGGCATTTGGGATTCAGGGAGCAGGACCATCACAAATCAGAGCCGAGCCCTCCCTCCGGACGATGCCTCCTTCCTTCTGAAACTCAGCGCAGGATGAGGGGGCGGGCAGGAGGGAGTAGGAACTGGGCATGGGGGTGAAGACACCAGCTCCTGACTCTGCTCTGGTCCCTCTCCCAGCTCCCTTCCCAGCCCACCGCCATGGCCACCATGGTGGCCCAGAAGCTTAGCCACCTCCTGCCCCGTTTGCGGCAGGCCCGCCAGCAGCCCCAGCCACCCGGGCAGCCGGAGCCCGTGTTCACGGTGGACCGGGCCAAGGTGCCGCCCCTCTACTGGAAGCCGTACATCTACGTGGGCTACCGGCCGCTGCACCAGACCTGGCGCTTCTACTTCCGCACGCTGTTCCAGCAGCACAACGAGGCGGTGAACGTCTGGACCCACCTGCTGGCCGCCCTGGTGCTGCTGCTGCGGCTGGCCGTCTTCCTGGGCACCGTGGACTTCTGGGGAGACCCCCACGCCCTGCCCCTCTTCATCATCGTCCTCGCCTCCTTCACCTACCTCTTCCTCAGCGCCCTGGCGCACCTCCTGCAGGCCAAGTCCGAGTTCTGGCATTACAGCTTCTTCTTCCTGGACTACGTGGGCGTGGCCGTGTACCAGTTCGGCAGCGCCCTGGCACACTTCTACTACGCCATCGAGCCCGCCTGGCATGCCCAGGTGCAGGCCATCTTCCTGCCCACGGCCGCCTTCCTCGCCTGGCTCTCCTGCACCGGCTCCTGCTACAACAAGTACATCCAGAAGCCCGGCCTGCTGGGCCGCACGTGCCAGGAGGTGCCCTCGGCGCTGGCCTACGCGCTGGACATCAGCCCGGTGGCGCACCGCATCCTGGTGTCCCCCAGCCCCGCCACCGAGGACCTCGCTCTCCTCTACCACAAGTGCCAGGTGGTCTTCTTCCTGCTGGCCGCGGCTTTCTTCTCGGCCCTCGTGCCCGAGCGCTGGTTCCCCGGCAGCTGCCACCTCTTTGGACAGGGCCACCAGCTCTTCCACGTCTTCCTGGTGTTCTGCACGCTGGCTCAGCTGGAGGCCGTGGCGCTGGACTACGAGGCCCGGCGGCCCATCTACGAGCCGCTGCACACCCGCTGGCCCCACAACTTCTCCGGCCTCTTCCTGCTCACCGTGGGCAGCAGCGTCCTCACCGCGTTCCTCCTGAGCCAGCTGGTGCGGCGCAAGCTCGATCAGAAGGCCCAGTGAAGGGAGATGGCAGCTGGTCGGGAGGGCGGGAGAGTTGGGAGCCCAGGGGTCCGGGCTCGGTCGGCTCCATCTAGGGGGAACAAGGCCTGGTAAAGTTGTTCGTGTCTGCACTGCCGTGTCTCTGTGCGCACACCTCAGCTACCACGGATGTAGGGATTGGCTTGGAGGTCTGGGGTCCGCTCCTGGGCCTGCCCTGGTTCCCTGACTTGGGAGAGGGAAAGAGATAAAGATGTGGCTACCCTGGTTCGCCTCCCCCACATTGCCTCTCACTACAGGTGAGGATGGGGGGAGGTTTGAGGGGGTGTCAGTGGGGGCCAGGACTCTGGTTTGGGGCTTCCAGATTATCTAGAGGGGGTGAAGGTGGAATTTAGGCCAGAGTTAGACTTGAGCTGAGAGGCAGAGGAGGCCTCAGCGAGTCCCTTGTGTCCGATCTCATTGGTGGGTGGGGAAGGGGCAGGACCAAAGTGTGTGCAGGATCCGACCATTGTCTGGACCCCAGCCTGGAGTTTTGGAGCTTCGGAGTCCCCAAAGGTGAAGACTGTGGTAGGTGCAGTGGATCCCACCCGGTGCCCCATGCCCCTCAGCCACTGTGCCCTCAGCAAGCTCACCCTCCTAGCGTTGGCCTCCATGTTCCAAACGTCCTGATCCCAGCCGTTCTCCAGGTCTCCACGGGGCCCTCGGGACCAGTGTAGGATCAGAGACTTTAACATTGGGGTGAACTGTCAGGGGAAGCACCCAGGAGGGAGTAATGGGTGTGGCCTGGGCCCCTCAGGGTTTTAGGTTGGGAAGGGCGAATGGGAGTTTGCGGATGGAGAAGAGGAAAGATGTTCCAGGCAGAGGGGAAAACCTGCACAAAGACCACGGGGTATAGAAGGCGTTCCGTGGGGCTGGAGCGAGGGGTGGTCTGGACTTGGCTATGCCCCGGGTGCAATAAAGTTACTGTGATAACAGCTGCCTCTTTGTTTTCTGTCTCCTGTTCCAGGGAGACCCAGGGGCCTGCTCATGGTGCGGTTTTGCTTTGTTTGTTTTATCTTTGCCTGAGGTGACCTTGGGGCCGCGTGTACTATGTGTAGGAAATTTTTAATTTTTTTTTTTGGAAGGGAAGTGGGGGGCAGTTTTATTAGTAAGTAAAATTTAGAAGTAAAAAGAATATTTTAAAAATACACATCATCCAATTTTATCATTTGACAAAGATTTCATTTTTGGGGCTTCAGTCAAGGAGGATTTTATGTCAATTTTTCATGGTATGCTATATGTTAACTTCTATAATAATGCTTTCTTCCGAGTACACAAGCAGTATATGTACAGAGAAGGAAAATTAGAAAGTATAGGTAAGAAAACCTCCTAATGCCTAAGAAATATATGACATCTATGAAGGCTGTGGTTAGGAATAGAAGGACAGGGTTGGATGCCATCATTTTTGCATTTCTGAGGCTTCCAGAATTTACAAAGTGCTTTCACAACTGTTACTTCACTTGATCTTCTCTAAAATCCACAGTAAGCCACAAAAAGGTAGAACTGAAAGCTAGTTTGTTTGTTTTTTTAAAATATATTTTTATTGATTTTTTTACAGAGAGAAGAGAGAGGGATAGAGAGAAACACTGATGAGAGAGAATCACTAATTAGCTATTATACCTTCTGCACACCCCCTACCAGGGATGTGCCCACAACTAAGGCACATGCCCTTGACTGGAATCAAACCTGGGACCCTTCAGTCCGCAGGCTGACGCTCTATCCACTGAGCCAAACTGGTTTCTGCTGAAAGCTAGTTCTTGACTCCAAATTTTTAGTGTTTATTTTTAACATTTTCTAAATCCTCTCCTATGTGGTTTCATAGTTAAGCTTGGATTTCCTTTCTTTGAATTACAAAAATAACTCATAAACTCCAGGTCATGTTAACCTTTTAAGGATCGGATTCTGGACCCTAGATTTGGAGCCAGTGGATCTGAGCCTTGACTCCACTCTTCCTTTTTGAGACAAAGAAAACCCTGAGCACAGGGGTAGTTATCCTGTCTAATAAAAGAGTAATATACAAATTGATCATCATTCCAACACACAAGATGGCTTTCCCATGTGGTCAAAGATGGCTGCCTCCATGTGGATACAAGATGGCCGCCACAAGATGGCCAGCAGAGGAGGGCAGTTGGGAGGAACCAGGCCTGCAGGGGAGAGCAGTTGAGGGGGTGACCAGGCCTGTAGGGGAGGGCAGTTAGGGGCAATCAGGCTGGCAGGAGAGCAGTTAGGCATCAATCAGGCTGGCAGGGGAGTGGTTAGGGGGTGATTAGGCTGGCAGGCAGAAGCAGTTAAGGGCAATCTGGAAGGCAGGCATGTGAGCAGTTGGGAGCCAGCAGTCCTAGATTGAGCCTAAACGGGCAGTCAGACATCCCTTGAGGGGTCCCAGATTGGAGAGGGTGCAGGCTGGGCTGAGGGACACACACACCGTGCACAAATTTTGTGTACCAAGCCCCTAGTCTACATATATAAAAAGCCAGTGTCTGTGATGACCACAACGACCAAACGACCGGTCACCATGAAGTGCATTGAGCACCTTGGTCCCTCCCCCGGCCCACGAGCAGCAGCAGCTCATGGCGCAGCCCGGCGTGGCGGGCAGCTCTTGCGCTGCAAGGCCCAGGGCTCAGGTCTCACAGCCATGGCCGCCGGCAGTGGCAGCAGCAGCAGTGGGGTGCTAGGGATGGCACCTTCCCCTGATGGACCTGGTTGCCTCCCACAGAGGGAGGCCAGAGGCAGCAGCAGCAATGGGGTGATGGGGGTGGCACCTTCCCCTGATCTTCCTGGTCGCCTCCTGCAGAGGGAGGCCTGACTGCAGCTCCTGGAGTGGGCCTAAGCCATCAGTAGGACATCCCCTGAGGGCTCCCGGACTGTGAGAGCGGGCAGAGGGCTTCCTCCCCACTGCACGAATTTTCTTGCTAATTATCCTATATAATAAGAGAGGAATATACTAATTATCCGTTACGCCCTGAGGCGTAATGACCCACCACATAACCACCTGATCACGGATCTGCAGGAGGGTGTGGCAGCCAACTACAAGCGGGGCAGGGCAGCAAGCAAGCAGGAGGCCGAGGAGAGCTACAGGAGGAGGCAGGGCAGCAAGCTATTGGGGGTGAGGTGGGGGAGCTACAGGAGGGCAACAATGACCTACTGGCGCATGGATTGGTGTGCAGGGCTATTTGTCTATAATCTATAATAATAAAAGGGTAACATGCTAATTAGACTGGACTCCCGGACATTCTTTTATTTATATATATATATATATATATATATAGATTATATATATTTATTGATTATATATATTTATTGATTATATATATTTATTGATTATATATATATTTTATTGATTTTTCTACAGAGAGGAAGGGAGAGGGATAGAGAGCTAGAAACGTCGATGAGAGAGAAACATCAACCAGCTGCCTCTTGCACACCCCCTACCGGGGAAGTACCCGCAACCAATGTACATGCCCTTGACTGGAATTGAACCTGGGACCTTTCAGTCTGCAGACCGATGCCCTACCACTGAGCCAAACCAGTTTCGGCCCGGACATCCTTTCTGATGAAGCCGCCTGGAGGGAAGCCAGACTGGGTCCCCGTGCTGGAGGGAAGCTGGTGTGGGCAGCTGGGGGAAGGAAGGCCTACACTTGTCGTGTATTAGGCTTCTAGTATTTGTCATAAGGAATCACAACTAACTCAGCAAGAAGAAAAGGCATGTTTGAAAAAAATCTATTTTTTTATTGATTTCAGATAGGAAGGGAGAGGGAGAGATAGAAACATCAATGATGAGAATCATTGATCGGCTGCCTCCCGCACCACCCCTCCCCTCCCCTCCCCCCCACCGGGATGGAGCCCGCACCAGGCATATGCCCTTGGCCGGAACCGAACCCGGGACCCTTCAGTCTGCAGGCCGACGCCCTATCCACTGAGCCAAGCCGGCCTGGGAAAATGCACGTTTCTTATGCAGAGTCTCAAACGCGTCCATACAGCATATTTCCCGGAGTACCACCTTTGAATGAAAAGAGAATCATAAAGAGAAAAGGGCTCCACACAGGAGATGGGTTTGTGGTTCTGGATTCGGCGTGGGGCGGGGCCTAGAAGGGGGCGGGGCCTGCGCCAGCCGAAGCGTACGTCGGGGGCGGGGCCTGCGTCGGGTCGGCGACGTAGCCCCGCCCCCGGCGTTGGCGCGAGATCCGAATGTTGGTGGAGGCGGTGGCGGCGGCTGTTCCTGAGGCGGCCGGAGCCGGACCCCGCGTGAGGCGAGCGAGGCCTCCTCAGCGGCCATGAGGCGCTCCGGCCCGGAGGAGGAGGCCTGCGGCGTGTGGCTGGACGCGGCGGCGCTGAAGAGGCGGAGAGTGCAGGTGGGTGGCGGGGAGCGGGGAGGGACGCTTCGGGGGGCCGGGAGGGGATGGAGGTCAAGTCGGGGACTGAGAAGGAAACGGCTTTGGGAATTCGGAGGCGAGAGGGAGCGGCGTCTGAAGGAGGGTGAACAGCGGAGTTTGGGGAGGACGGGGGAAAGGGGCGGAAGGAAGGCAGACTGGAGGGATGAGGAGACACTGGGACCGCAGGGCTCGGGGTGGCGGCGGCTCCTCAGGAGCTCGGGGCGCTGCGAGGCGGCAGGAGGAGGGGCTGGGTGGACGGAAAGGGGGCCGGGACGCGGGATTCAAAATGAAAGGAAAAGGGAAAAAGAAAAGGCTGAAGTATTGGGAAGCTCAGCTTGCATGCCGTCTACCTGAGAGAACCTGGAACGTCAGGGGGGAAATGGAGGAGACGGGGAAGGGAGCTGGCCTCGTGCTTAGTGAGCCCCCCTGGATGCCAGACTCGGTGTTAGGTGCACCATCACCCTGTGGGGGTGAGGAGCCTGAGGGGTGACTCTCCCCAGTGCACCCAGCCGGGGAGGGTTGGAAATGACCCCCAGGTTTGCCACATTTCAATATTCAATTGTATATTGAATATTGGAACAAAAGCATGAGATAATCTCTAATGCTTATCGA